TATACTATAATAGCAGATTGCATCCACCCTTGTTTGTGATTTGTGAAACCTTTCCCTGATTTGTGAACACAGATTGTATTTTTTCGGTGACATGTAGCACAGTTACAGAACAGCCACAACTATGCAAAAATTACTTTGATGTTTGCGTGTCTTAATTAAAAACAAGCAGAAATGTCCAGGAAATTAATATATTAAGGAAATGTTTTATTATAAAGATACTTAAAAAGAAAGCAAATTGGGCAAGGTTAAATGCATGAAAATTACATACTGGACAAAATATAAATATGGCTCAGTTTTGCTTGAGGGTGTTTGCATAATGTCTGCATTTCATTGCCAGTATATGTTCTGAATGACATTCTTCATACCTGTAGCACAGAACTTTTAGAGTGTATCTGGCCCATTAATCCATCTTAACTTGCAAGTTTTTGAAATCATCACACCTAGTAAAACATAATCATAGAAAATTGGTTAAACTTTAAATGACATAAAGTCAATAATCACATTCAAGCAAGTTTTCTTAATTACATTAGTTATACATAATTTATTTTATTTGAAAAAATAAACACATATCACTTTGAGCTTTTTATGAAATACTTACATAATCTCAATGGCGTTATACACCCTACTCACACTTGGACAAGATGGGTTTGGGCATTGTTGTCTGACTTCTGTGGATAGAAGATAATCAAGCCTACATGTGACCATGTCCTCTTCAGATCCAAATGCATCTCAAGAATGTCCATTAAATCTCCCAATTTTTTTCAACCACAATATTTTACCCTGTGCCCATTCCTTCTTGTCAAAAAGTTTATCTACCTCAAGCAAAGTTGACACCCACATGTCATGTTTGGAAGCTCCTTCGATGTCATTTTTAACCCCTGCTTTTCGTTTAATTGCCAAATGCAAAATGTATAGGAGATTGTCAATTGTGCATGTGTTGATCATGGTAATTGTTTCATCACCAATCTTTCCTTCCCCTCCCCAGTACGGGCCTTTTTGTTTATGAGTTGTTGGTTTTTTCTTGCTTGGAGGGGGTGGACTGAAGTATTTTGAGGTCTGCTTGCCAGAAATACTTCTCTTCTTCCATTCTTCTTCTTGATATAAAGGTATTGTCTCAGGACCTGGTAATGTCTCTTTTTTAACTTCAGACTTGATCTTCAATCTATGACCTTATTTTCTTTTTTCCAAAAACTTAAGTCCTTTCAGTCTTCCGGTGACAAATTCATGCAGAAGTTGAATAAAGTCACCTGCTCGTCTATGCAGTTTTGATGTCAGAATGACAGTTTTAGTTGTGCGAAACCAGTTCTCAACAACTGCATTGCTGTCTCTAGTTTTCCCAAGACTTTTCAGCAATATTCCAGACCAAAGAGGAACAGTGCCTGCAAAATGCAAGATAATATCAGCCACAGACTCACAGTAATGTAGATTTGGCTTTTGGTCTTCCTCCATGTCATCAGATTCCCCAGCTTCCTCTTTTGACTGCTTAACAATCCCTTGAATGGTAGAATAGAAAGGCGAGGATTTAGTTATAGATCTTGTAAACTCTGTCATATCCACCCGCTTGGGATCGTCATCTTCGTCGCCATTGTCCACTTTGATTTTTTCTGTGTTTTGCGTCCTTATTGCTTCTTTAAGGACACATAGATGTTCTTTGCAGCCTCTGGTTTCCTTTCTTGAAGAAAAAACGTACACTATGCACCTCGTTAGTGTCAAAATGTCTTTAAGTTCTACTGCATTCTGTAGTAGAGCAAAGCAGTATAGAAACAGCTGCTTTGTGGCTTTACTGCACTGCACTTTTGACAACTTCATGCTGACCAACTTCAGCATGTGAGCAGCACACAGATGTACCACAGTAACTTGTGCTGGGTCATTATTTTGACAAACTTCAAAACAAATCTTCAGATATTTTTGAACACTGACATTGTTGAAGGCCTGAACTACCGCGTGGATCATAGCCCAACTGAAATCCATTTCTACCTTTTGTGGCTTAAGGTCCTTGTGGAATACATTGAAGTAGTCACGGCGCAAGCAACTCAACCAGTGCAGAATAGTAGCAGAAGTCTGATCAGAGGTCAGCATTTCACAAACAAGAACCACTGTTTTTGTTGTGTATTGACAAGAGATGCATAATGCATAGTAAAGTACTGCCTGATGTGATGAGTCTGTGTGTGTGCGTGGATGGACCGGACACGGACTGAGCAGAGCTCCCGGCTGCAGTTTTGTGTGTAGGGAGGGGCGGACTCTATATTTTACTGGCCAATCACCGAGCGTGAAGACAGTCAGTTACCCAATGAGGATTTTCCTTCAGCACGATTACAGATATTTACCAGTTTTACTCGTTTCATGCTCGTATTCGTCAAAAATGCTTTATCCGTACCGGATACTCGTCTGAAACGAGTATCCGGCTCATCCCTAGTTGTAAATCTGATTGGTTAAGGAAACTGTCATCTGTTTTTGTCTGGAAAAGGCAAATATTGTCTTTAACAACATCATAAGCAATCTGAGCATTTTCTTTTACTGTATTTTCCTCCTTTCTGTCTTGTATTGCTGTCATGCTTTTGTCATCTGTTCTTTCCTCCTGATGAATATCATCACAAGTTCTTTTCTTGAGGTTTTGTAACACGTTTGTTCTTACAAAATTTCTGTCTGTACAGTATAAAGCCACTTCTTTTTGTTTAATGACTTGTCATGAAATATCTTTCCTGCCAAATCTTCCCATATGGTGCTCTTCCAATGTATTTTTTTTTGGTAACTGTCCAAACGCTGACAGTTCTGAAATGATTCTGTCCACCTCCTGACAGTGTCCACATATGTGGACATCCACGCCTGTGACCTTGTCACACCCTGTCCTGTCTCCCCTTATGGTTTAGTCTCTGTTAATTGCTCCCACCTGCCTCTCGTTTTCCAATCACCCAAGCTCCCAGCCCTCTTGTATTTAAACCCCTCCAGTTCTGTGTCTCTTGTTTAGCTCATTGTTTCCATGTCCTGCGTCCAAAGTTCATTAAAACCTTTTAAGTTTTCCCAGTTTGTCTACCTGCCTGATTCCTCCCCAGCGTTTGGATCCCCACCTCAGCTCAACTCACCAGCGCATCGTGACAGACCTATTCTTAATATTTTCATATTTGGAATCTGAAAAAAAGAGAAATGGCATAGTTGAGTATTATACTGTAATGAGTATTAAAGTAATTATGAGAACCCAAACACATAATTAGTCCCGGAATACAATACTGGAAACATGTCTTAAGGCATTTTAATTATCAAGTACAGTTGTTTAATGTTTTATGTCATCTTCTCTACAAAAATTTAGGGTAAAGGTCTTTCATTTTTATGGAATGTCACTTAATGTAGCCTACGCATAGAAATCCTAACACATTTTTTTCATTGTCAGGTGGATTGAAGTGAGCATTTGTGTTGAATAGTAGCAAGTGTTTTCATTATTACACTATATTAAATTAACCATAATAAGAGTAGCTCATGTTCAACTCATGTTTACTCAAAAGCGAGTATCAATATTAAATAATTAGAATACACGTTTCATATACATCCCATGAGACAATTTTAAAATTTCTTAATATTTCTCACCTTACTATTCAAAGATATGCTGAAAGTACATCATACACACTTTAGCCAAATGAACGTCCATGTAGCTTCCAAAAGATATTCGTCAAGCGTGGTCGTCTACTTCGCCCGGAGGCCACACACAAATGTTTACTACCGTAACTGTTCAAACGATTGCGCAACCTTCATAATTCCAATGGTTTCAGAAAGGTGACACTCTGCCCTTTTCAGAGGTGTACGGTACATTACGGTAATATGACGGAGTTCCTGTCTGAGAGCTGGCCCGGGAGAAAAAGACTACACCATTAGAACAATGGAGGAGCGAACTAATTGTTTTGGAGGCGTATTTTCAAGATATTCGGACTATCCGTGCTCGTTGACGTGCTACTATGGGGCATGCGCAGACCGATTTTTTAAGGCTAAATTGAAGTTATACAAATCAGGAAAAGGTTTCACAAATCCCAAACAAGGTTGGGTGCAATCTGCTATTATAGTAGAATAATCTAGAACAGGTTTGAACAGTGTGGCTGTTGTAGTTTTTGAGCTAGAGCAGATTAAAGATGGTCAGAGTAGAGAAAAATTGGGTGTAATGGCCCTTTAGCCGTTTCCCGAACAGGTGTGTTTAGCGCGCCACGTGCGCGCATTTAGCTGTTTTTATTGGCTCAGGAGCCCGCAGGTACGGTGTGTGTCACTCACTCTGGTTAATCCAACAGGGAGCCGGTTTCTTTAGCGACCGACACATCACTACATCATTTCCTTTCCTAATGTCCTGAAGAACGGTCCGGAGCGCAGGCGGAGTGTTTAGCTAACCTGCAGGAAATGTCAACGATACTTATTCAGAAAGTAGCTAAGGATTACCAGAGATGTTTCTGGGGTGTTCGCTAGGTACTTTTAGGATTTAAAAAGTCAAGAAGGGGGTCTGAAAAGCTGCTAGAAATAGCATCAATGTCGCTAAGTTGGCAACACTGTGAGGGGCGCTTAATTTGCAACTCAGGGCAGCACAAGTGAGAGGAGCAAATAATCGGCTTGTTTTGTTTTTATAATCGTTCAAAACTTAGATCGTAATTGGGATTAAAATTTGATTAATTGAGCAGCCCTACTCAAAATGATTGATTTTTTTTATGTTTGAGCAGGGCTGAAGTTGTTCAACAGATCTATGAAAAAAAGTAAAAAAAAAAAAAACATTCATGTATACATTTTTATAGCCACTTTTACAAGCGGACGTTTTTGTCCTCTAATGACTCTTGTATGAAAATTAAAATGAAGCCTGAGGGTTAAGGCTCATATGATTTATAGAGGCTCAAAGTTCAGTTTCCAATTGTAAATACATTTCATTCTGTCAGTTTAAAGAAATAATACAACTGTTATATGTGTGAAAACACAGTTACAGCTGTCTGTCATTCACATAATATGTTTCTGTGTTTTCTACTGATTTTCAACAGGTGGTTCTGGTTAAATAAGAAGCTTCAGAAGAACAGAGTGCTTGTGTCAACCACCAGCACCAAGATTTTCTCCACAACAAGGAGGAACAGGAGAAACTGATCTAGTATGGAGGGAGAGCATCTTCATTTGAATAAGGAGACTGATGCTGCCAGGTTTCAATCCTTTAGCCATAAAACACATTTAAACAAACACACGAGAGTCCACACAGGACAGAAGCCCTTTCCTTGTGAGCTCTGTGGAATCAGATTTAGCCAAAAGACAACTTTAAATAGTCACATGAGAGTCCACACAGGAGAGAAGCCCTTTCCTTGTGAGCTCTGTGGAACGAGATTTAGCCGAAAGACAAGTTTAAACAGTCACATGAGAGTCCACACAGGAGAGAAGCCCTTTCCTTGTGAGCTCTGTGGAATGAAATTTAGCCAAAAGACAACTTTAAATAGTCACATGAGAGTCCACACAGGAGAGAAGCCCTTTCCTTGTGAGCTCTGTGGAACGAGATTTAGCCGAAAGACAAGTTTAAACAGTCACATGAGAGTCCACACAGGAGAGAAGCCCTTTCCTTGTGAGCTCTGTGGAACAAGATTTAGCCAAAAGACACATTTAAACAGTCACATGAGAGTCCACACAGGAGAGAAGCCCTTTCCTTGTGAGCTCTGTGGAACGAGATTTAGCCGAAAGACAAGTTTAAACAGTCACATGAGAGTCCACACTGGAGAGAAGCCCTTTCCTTGTGAGCTCTGTGGAACGAGATTTAGCCAAAAGACACATTTAAACAGTCACATGAAAGTCCACACAGGAGAGACACCCTTTCCTTGTGAGCTCTGTGGAACGAGATTTAGCCATCAGACAAATTTAAATAGTCACATGAGAGTCCACACAGGACAGAAGCCCTTTCCTTGTGAGCTCTGTGGAACGAGATTTAGCCGAAAGTCAACTTTAAATAGTCACATGAGAGTCCACACAGGAGAGAAGCCCTTTCCTTGTGAGCTCTGTGGAAAGAAATTTAGCCGAAAGTCAACTTTAAATAGTCACATGAGAGTCCACACAGGACAGAAGCCCTATCCTTGTGAGCTCTGTGGAAAGAAATTTAGCTTAAATTCAACTTTAAACAGTCACATGAGAGTCCACACAGGACAGAAGCCTTTCGCCTGTGAGCTCTGTGTAAAAAGATTTAGCCAAAAGGCACATTTAAACATTCACATGAGAGTCCACACTGGATTTTCGCCTGTGAGTTTGGTGGAAAAGTTTTAGCGAAAAGACAAGTTTAAACGGTCACAAAAGAGTTCATAAAGGACAGAAGCCTTTTGCTTGTGAGCTCTGTGGACGAAGATTTCGGTGAAGGAAAACACTACGGCTGAACGATCTATTGCAGGGGTCTCCAACCTTTTTTGGCCCGTGAGCTACTTTTACACAATGAAAGTACAGCAGAGTTACTGCCATATGATTTATTTACATTGATACTTTCCATGTGTGAATGTGCTTTTGTTAAACATGCTATACTTACTATATTAACAAGCATTGTACTCACAAGTTGATTTCTCTGTATTTCAGTACATCAGTATGTATGTTTTTTTAAAAGTATAAGTAAACTAGTGACATTCTGAAAACCAAATTAATCAAAACATATTTAGTTTTTTAAACTAATCAGATACTTTCAGATAATGAATAACAAATCTACTTCATGTGAATGATTTGGTAATTTTTTTTAGAAGGTTAGTAACATAACTTTTTAAGCACACAGGAACAGCTAACCTGTAAAGCTGATGATATTTTATATAAAATACAAGCTAAATGTGATGAAAACACAAAAGTCTAAATAGTTTGAATTGAAGTAAAAAATGTAAAATCAGAAATAAGACTTGTTCCTGCTCTCCTGATTTATTGAATAATTTGTATGGGGTTTTTTGGTCATGAAAGTTAAGTTTTGCTGCGTTTATTGCTGACAATATGAAGGTTGGAGGTTTATCCTTTTTTTCTGCATCTTGCAGGTTTTTTTTTCTCCGCAGGTCTGAAGGCTGTGCGTTACACAGAGCAGAGAGACAGAGAGCAAGAGACCAGAACCAAAAGAAATGATCACATCACACCAATCTTAAAATATTTACATTGGCTTTCAGTAACTTACAGGGTTGAGTTCAAAGACTTTGTACTTACTTTCAAATCATTAAATGGCAAACGACCTGTTTGAGACGTTTCACCCTTCAAAATCACTTAGGTCAGCAGATAAATCCCACCAGGTACAACCCAGAGCCCGCACCAAGCACGGAGAGGCTGCCTTTAGCTGCTATGCGGTCCGTCTCTGGAACTGTCTTCCAGTAGACATTAAGACATCTCCCACCATTTCCATTTTTAAATCCAGATTAAAAACTAAACTTTTTCATGATGCCTTCCATTAACCTATCCTTGCATCTGTGCTCTACTATTTTTCTGTACTGTGTTAAATTTATTCTATATGTATTTTATATGTATACATATTCTGTGCTGTTTTATTGTGAATTATTGTGTAATTAAAGTGAATACTTGTAATAAAGTGTGGTTATTGTGTAAAGCAGTATATACTAGGAATGATTAATAAAATAAAAACTAGAATTGAACCTGAGTTACATGGTAATAACAGTTTAAGAACTCTGAAACAATAAACTAACTTACTAAGTAATTACCATGTAAGTACTGAGTAATTAGTGGACTGTAAAGGAAAGCGCTACCAATAATTGTGCTTAATATGTTTTTATTTTTGTGTGCTATGTTCTGTGTCAGTATTCTTTGATTTTATTTTACACAACATGGTGTGACATTTAAACTATTTCATTTCACTTGTGATTGTTTTAACTATGTGAAGCACATTGGGCTACCGTTGTTGACTTGAGAGAGAGAGTTCACAATCATGTTTTGTTACTAAATGAGACACTCAGCTGAAACTGGGGGAAATATATAATGAATCTAACAGAGCCGTGTCCAGGACTTTTAAAATGGGGTGGCCCATGTGGGGCATTTGTTTATGCATGGGTGGCACCAATGGTTATGCTTATATACACAATTCATTTATTTATTTACTTACTTTCTAGTGAATTTTGGAGTTTCACATTGCACAATCACCATTTTTTTCTATTCATCTTCTAGTTTTGTGGTGGTTAGCAAGTCACTTCTTGTTGCATTATTGCCACCAACTGGAGTTGAGTGGGACTCAATACTATTTTTGTGAACATGAAAAAATAAATAATATTAATACTACAGAAATGTTCTGTAGGCCTGGGCTAGAAGACAATGTTAAAGGTACATGCTACCACACACTATTTTTGGAGTTTACAACTCAAGCCTTTAGTCGACAATGTAAAGCCAATTTAAACTGGAACTTAGTGTGGTGGCACCTGGGGTGGCCAATCAGATTCTAAGGGTGGCATGTGCTACCCCAGGCCACTCCCTGGACACGCCCCTGCCTACGGCTGACAAATCATGCAAGGTGGAGGTTATATGAGATCGCTCATGTTATTCTCAAGGTTTGATCAGAAATGCGACTCTTCTCAAAACGATCTTAGTTTGATGGCAGGGAATCCATTCATAAAAGGCACACTTGGCCTTTAATGCATTTTAGTGAAAGTGTTGTGAGATGAGACAACATAATGTCACTCCAGCATCATTTTAAAGTGAACATATTATGCAAAACTCACCTTTTGCATCTTTTTGAGCTGCATATAGTGTAGAACCACCTCTCAACCTGAGGGGAGCAGATGCTATTGGAGGAGCAGTGGCTCTACTCTGAGCCCCTCTTTAATATCAGAGCTTCTCAGCCTGGGCTGGGTGGGCGTGGCCAGCTCCAGCTTGTTTTATTAAAGGCGTAGTTCCCAGAAAACCCATTTTTAATAATTATTGCTGATAATAATTGGTCACTCTTGAGCTTTTCATTCAGGCTGAACATGAAAATGGTCTGCTACACCTATCTCCTGCATTAACTTCTGATAGAAAACAGAAGTTGGAATGCTAGGATTTGAAAAGCCTGTCAACTCTAAGTCATGCTGTCACTTAACATTCATGGACTCATTGATCTTGACCAAGCCCCCATAATTCTGCCTTAAATTTGAAGCCAACAAGGAAGAGGCAAAAATTGCAGTTCCACCCTCATCCGCTAGGGTCTGGCAACAGAAGTCAGCAAATCCTCATCGAGTCCCATGTTAAAAACGCCAATTTCACAGCAGAAGTAAACATATTTACAGCCTGGTTAAAAACCCCATTTTAGGTTAAATAGATGCTGTGTCATTTAACTGCTTGGTCAAACATGTTAGTGAGGCTGCATAAAAACTTGAGCAGGTGCCCAGCTTTGTGCACAAAAACTTATAATTCGAGCCTATGGACACAAATTGTCCAGTATTTATGTCGATGATCTTGACCCGTGACGGGGCAGGTTGCAGGGGCGTGTCCAGGGAGTGGCCTGGGGTAGCACATGCCACCCTTAGAATCTGATTGGCCACCCAGGTGCCACCCTACTAAGTTCCAGTTTAAATTGACTTTACATTGTCGACAAAAGGCTTGAGTTGTAAACTCCAAAAATAGTGTGTGGTAGCATGTACCTTTAACAATGTCTTCTAGCCCAGGCCTACAGAACGTTTCTGTAGTATTAATATTATTTATAATTTTTTCATATTCACATAAATAGTATTTAGAGTCCCACTCAACTCCAGTTGGTGGCAATAATGCAACAAGAAGTGACTTGCTAACCACCACAAAACTAGAAGATGAATAGAAAAAAATGGTGATTGTGCAATGTCAAACTCCAAAATTCACTAGAAAGTAAATAAATAAACGATTTTTGTAAATAAATAAATAAGCATAACCATTGGTGCCACCCATGCATAAACAAGTGCCCCACATAGGCCACCCCATTTTAAAAGTCCTGGACACGGCTCTGGTAGGTTGTCGTTTTAACGTCCAGGATCAGCAGTGGACGTCTTAGCTAATAGAATCTAACTGTTAGGATTAGCAACTCCACCATTATTTGTGGAGATAGAACAACCACATTTGAAGTCAGTCGTAGAGTCGGGTTGCTGTTATCCAATCCGGGCCGAGATATCCAAATATCAGACTCCAAAACCTGCCGTCTGAAGCTCAGCTGTCACGAGTGCAACTTTTAGTTTCAAAAAATGTTGCACCAACATTTTCCCCAGAGCACAACTTACAAGGCATTTCTAGCAGAGACCACTGCAAATGTACTGATTAAACGAGTGATCTACTGTTTTAGAGTGACAGAGGCCTGAAATGGCTCATTCTGGAAGGCACTGAAAATGTCAAGAATAGAACTGCTGCGATTGCTGATTGTGAGTGGGATTTTCAGTAAGGAACTTCAAACGAGGTGGTCTGCACACCATCTGACTGATGAGACTGGCGCTCCACAGCCGAGGGACATGAACTGTGTAGAAGAAGCACTCTGGCGAGTCAAGTAAACAACTTCTAAAACTATTACTTGCGCCTTCAAACTATTTGACTGACCAGAGTACTCCAGCTTCTTTTTCTACACACAACTTCATAAACATGCTTTGTATAGACAATAGAACTATCACAACTTCAGAAAATATGTCATAATATGTCTCATTGAAGTCATTTTCAGGAATATGGTTTCACCATCACAGGTGCATTCTTTATTATCACAAGTCAACCAGCCGTATCAAAATGACAAGTATCTCAAAACCAGAGTGCAGACATTCTCTTCTGCCCATCTTCTCAGTGCTGAACGGTCAAGAAACAACGTATTCAGAGTTTAAAAACAAAAACCTAAAGGCACATCTCTATTATATTTACATTGCATACACTTGACAACAACAAAAAAGCACACGACCAGTCCTAGAGTCTCGGCCTCAGTGGCGCTGCTAAAGAGCTTAACCATGATGTACGCACAGTAATAAAGCAGCTAGTCACAGTATCTGGAGCTACAACACACAGGTAGGAGTCAGTGTTTGTGTAACTTATGGCTTTATCTTGTTTGACTTCCATTCTGGGTCATTGCTTGCACGCCGCTTTTATGGCTCATCGATTCAAAGACACTGTTAAGGCCTGTTAAAAAAGTTGCACTAATTCGGAGACAATCACCAATCAAATGTTTTAGGAAATATCTTTGAAACAGAAAGATTATTTTAGAATTCAACAAAAGCATCTCAGAAAATGTTAAAAAAAATTGAATGTACAATAAAAAAAATTAAAAAGGAGCTATTTTACACAACAGCATCTTATTGTCTACAATAGAATGGGGAAGTTTGGGCAGCCTTGGTAATCTCCATGATTTTCCTGTATACATTGTTGGTTGTACAATAAAAAATACTCAGTTAAATATATCATATAGGATACACATACACTGATAATTGGGAAGTGAAACAAAGTTTATAGGATTTACAGAAAGTGTGCAACAAAATTGGTCAGGTTCATACATTTGGTCACTGTTGTCATTTTATTGATTCCAATAATTTTAGAACTCAATATTGGAACTCTAAATTGTTTGGTAAGCTCAGTGACCCTTGACCTCCATACACAGGTCAATCCGGTTATGAGAAAGAGTATTAAAGGGCGCCAATTGTAAGTTCCCCTCCTTTTTAAATATTCTCTGAAGAGTAGCAGCATGAGGTCTCACAACAACTCTCACATGACCTGAAAACAAAGATTGTTCACCATCATGGTTTAGGTGAAGTAAACAGAAAGCTGCCTCAGAGATTTCAGCTGTCTGTTTCCACAGTTAGGAACATACTGAGGAAATGGAAGATCACAGGCACAGTTCAAGTTAAGGCTTCAAGTGGCAAACCAAGAAAAGTCTTGGATAAACAGACGAATGGTGAGAACAGCCAGAGTCAACCCACAGACCAGCACTAAAGACCTACAACATCATCTTGCTGCAGATGGAGCCACTGTGCATCGTTCAGCTATTCGGTGCACTTTACACAAGGAGATGCTGCATGTGAGAGTGATGCAGAGGAAGCCTTTTCTCCACCCTTAGCACAAACAGCTGCTTGAGGTATGCTAAAGCACATTTGGACAAGCACAAGCAGCTTCATTCTGGAATAAGGTGCTGTGGACTAATGGTACTAAAATGGAGTTATTTGGGCGTAACAAGGGGCGTTATTCATGGAGGAAAGAGAACACAGCATTCCAAGAAAAATACCTGCTACCTACAGTAAAACATGGCGGTGGCTGCATCATGCTGTGGGCTGTGTGGCCAGTGCTGGGACTGGGAATCGTGTTAAAGTTGTGGAACACATGGATTCCACTCAATATCAGCAGATTCTGGAGACCAATGTCCAGGAATCAGTGACAAAGCTGGAGCTGCTCCAGGGCTGCAACTTTCAACAAGACAACAACCCTAAACACTGCTCAGAATCAGCTTAGGTAGTGGTCCTCAATAGGCGGCCCGCAGGCCATGTGCGGGCCTCCTCTTTGTGCCCCCCCCCTTTTTTTTTTTTGAGTGGCCTTGGACATTTATAATAGAGGACCCCTGTACTAATGGGCCATTCCCATCCGTACCGGGTCGGCCCGGGCCGGGTAGCATAGGTTGTTTACATATCTGGGTGGCCTGGTAGTTTTCCGGGCCAACCAAGGCTCATTCTCAGCCCTCTTCTCGAGGGGGTCTGCTTCAGGCCGACCAGGGCCAACACACCCACTGCGGACAGCAAATTCACACCTTCCATTAGAGCAAGCCTCTGATTGGTGGGTAGAATCAGCCCACATGGGTTTAAGGCAAGGATGTGTGGAATCAACCGGGCCCCACTGGGGCTACCCGGCCCGGGTCGACCCGCTACAGATGGGAATGGCTCATATGGCATTCATGCAGAGGAACAAGTAGAACATTCTGGAATGGCCATCTCAGTCCCCAGACCTGGATGTTATAAAAACATCTGTGGTGAGTTAAAGAGAGCTGTCCATGCTCAGAAGCATCAAACCTGAATGAACTAGAGATGTTTTGTAAAGAAGAATGGTCCAAAATACCTTCAGCCAGAATCCAGACTCTCATTGGAAGCTACAGGAAGCAGTTAGATGCTGTTATTTCTGCAAAAGGAGGATCTAATAAATATCAAGTTCATTAATTTTATGTGGTGCCTAAATTTATGCACCTGCCTAATTTTGCTTAAACAATTATTGCACACTTTATGTAAATCCTGTAAACTTCATTTCATTCAAATATCACTGTGTGTGTGTGTGTGTGTCCTATATGATATATTTAACTGAAGTTTTTATCGTGACAGTTTATACAGGAAAATCCTGAAGATTCAAGGCTGCCCAAACGTTCACATCCCACTGTTCTTCTTAGTCTAACACGATCCCTCTTTAGTCATATATGTACATGAAACTGCCATGTTGCCTTCCCCAAAGCGTTGGAAGATGGAAGGAGCCAGATCTCCTCCCACGGCTGAGGACTGAGGCTGTATCTGATGGGCTGTTGGTGCTGGAGTCTGCTTTACATAGACATGCACCTAACGCAGAGGTAAATGCACCAATGGGATGAGCAGTTTGAGGCTGAGAGCAAGTGTGTGTGTGTGTGTGTGTGTGTGTGTGTGTGTGTGTGTGTGTGTGTGTGTGTGTGTGTGTGTGTGTGTGTGTGTGTGTGTGTGTGTGTGTGTGTGTGTTTGTGTGAGTGTGTGTTGGGGGGGGGGGGGGGGGGTTTAAACGTAGTCCATGAAGACATCAGCTGTGTTCTGCAGTAAAGGCTGTGTGGGGGCTGTGGTGCTGCAGACTGAGCTCAGCCTCCGCGACGGCATCCTCTGCTGCTTCGAGGTACCTGGAACATTGCTCAGCATCAGGTACACCTGAGAACAACAGGTAAATCAACTATAAATACATGACTTAATTAAAAACACATAAACGTATCACTTGTCAGATTACATGACATTAAAAGCAGCCACTCTGATATTTTATCAACTTACATTCTTGGTATTTTCTGACAGCAGGAGCTCAGTTCTCTCCACCAGTTTTCTGAAGGACGGCCTTTTTAGTGGGTCATGGTTCCAGCAGGACAGCATCATTTCATACCTGCACAGGTGAGACCAGGATTAGTTTATACACCTGCAAAAGTCAACGCGCAAACTCTTAATTCACACATAGATGCAACCGACTAGTCAGAAAACGATTTAGCTCAGTAAAAGCTGTTTTAAGCTCTGAACATTTGTTGCTTAACAACATTTGCGTGTCACCTACAGTGTTGGCTAAATTCAACAATTATAAAGAATAAAATGTTAAGGAGTACAAAATTAGTGAGGCTGAATAATACAAGAGATCATTTAGCTATCTTCAGTTGAACAATGAGTCAGAAAGTGTTGTTTGTGGCCCTCCATACACTTCTGTAAATCTAGCATTTTGTTTACAGCTGTTCTATTTTAATCTTCACGCCCATGCCATCAATCTAAATGTCATCTTTACCTCTAACTTAAAATCTGACCTCTGTGGTAAAGAGCTGGCTTATTGTTTACTGGATAATGATAATATAACATAACAATCTGTTGAATTTTATCTTATAATAATATAACATGACAGTAAAAGAGGTAAAATTAACCCATGCCACCTTGAGATCCTCCACCAGAGGGCAGTAGACATGTATAGGATTAGATATAGCAGATTTATGATCATTAAAGTAATCCATCTAGAACCTTTAAGGCCAGAAGTGATGGTCTATCACCCCCTTGTTGGTTTATTGTAACTTCATTTATTTCAACACCAGCCAAGTGTGTGTTATTACACATATAATACACATCTAGAGCAAGCTTTTTAAACAGATACTCCATGTTTCTGAAAATTCAGATAATGTGAGACTATTACATCAAACATAAACATCAAGATTTTTGCCAAAAGTTTAATGTCCCATGTTCTAAGAATAAATTTAATCGGGTTATAAAATCCATTCCACTGTCACTTAAAACATAGTTGTAAATGATATAATATATTCTGGCATCTCACCCAGGTTAAGACAACTATATATAGATGATATTCGATTTTGTGATGATAAATGCAATAATAAGTTTCTAAGATCTTCATTATGGAATCTTTTTTATCCAAATTTACTTAGACGTAATTACATATTAAAAGATTTCCAAAGGGAAGAAATTGAAAAAATAAGAAGTGATTATATCACCTTACCTATCGCTCCTAAAGGGAAAGAAGTCCAATTTAAAAATTTGAATAAAATTTACCCAACAAATAGACTCCTTAGGGATGGATTCAACATAGAAGCTGGTAATTGTGTATTTTGTGAAACAGAAGAGGAGGACTTAGACCATCTATTTTTTTTTTTTGTGTGCAATTTTATACAAATATTTTGGTTGGATTTTCATGCCTGCCTTTGTTCTAGTGGGATTCAAATTGCCCCATTTACCTTAAATAGGATAATGTTTGGAGTGTTTTTGAAAGAAAAGAAAGTTAATTATGGTGTTAATGTGTTATTAATTTTGTGCAAACAATTTATACATAAATGTCGATTTTTTAAGACCAAACCAACACTAACCTATCGGAAAAACGGCTTAAAATTATTAGTTAAATCTTTGAATTCAGTTAAAAAGAAAAAGGCAGATTTTTTTATTTCCTTTGTAGAAGATTTTGAGTTAGTAAGTTAACAATCTGTTAATTATGTGACTCCATCTTTAGATTTTCTTTTTTTTTCATATACGTGAAAATGTGTAATGTGTAAGTAATGGTTATCTTTTGAAGATATAATGTAAGGTGCATTTTGTTTGTATGTTATTTTCTATAAAAAACATCAAACATATTATTATTATTATTATTATTATTATTATACCAACAGCAAACAGGAAATGCTACTTTAACATAGCCTAGTGAACTAGACCAAATTCTTGCTTTGCAAAGAATGGTCTAGGCACGCTCCATTGGAACATCCGCAGCTCCTACCAGGACTCTGGCTAGCCAATCACAGCTCTCTAGAGGGGTTTCAAACACATAAAGAGCTGTGATTGGTCCATAATGGTGGACCAATCATAGTGCTCTATCTGCTTAGTGAACAAATCACAGAGCTTTATCTGCTTTTTGGGCCAATCAGGGCACTCTATATGCCTGGTGGGTGGAATGATGCAACAGAGTGAAACAAGAGTATGTCACATTCATTGTCCAGTGGAATGCGGAGATCATTTGAAAGACAACAGTGGAACCCGCCCCACAACCGAGAGCCGTCAATGGAGCGTGGCCAGACTAAATAATACATTTATTTAGTCTGGCTTGCCAGGCTAACTTTAACACACATGCATTTATGATCTGCTAGCATACCCCTGGCTAGCACTAATTACATTAGGAACATTCAGTTTATGTAAGAGTGTTCTTGCATCAGTTTATTGTGCTTTCTGTTTGTTTTCCTCTCAACAGAACACTTACAGCAATGTCTGTCTGAAGTTTGGACACTTAAAGAGCAAGTCACTCCAAATCAACATTTTTTTGCTGATAAACTATATAAATGAGTGTCTGATCGTGCTGTAGACAAATGTATTCAATAATTTGGCATTTTAGTTCATTTTAGTTAAAATTTAAATATTCTGCCTAAAACTGTCAGTGATGCACCGTCGTCTGGTAAAAACTCTGCACTGCATTTGAATTTAAATCTGCCATCGCTATTGGCTAAGAGGTACACTATGATGTTAGATGGTACATTATGATGTCACAATGTTGTGAGCTATGTGTATTTGTTAGTGACTCCACTCTCTCGGTCTGCTAGGCAACAGCATTTGTTGCATTTTTCAAACAGGAAGTGGGAGTTGAGTAAGAATCTGGTTGTGGGTGACTTGCTCTTTAAGGTTTGGAAAAAAATCAGATTTAAGAAAAGGTTCATCTGTTTTAATTGTATCTTTATGACTTTAAACAAATACGTCAGCTATAATTGGATAATATAAATACTTAAATATCCCAATGTGACTTTATATGAAACAAAGTTCTCACTTACATCTCGATGGAAGCAAACTCCGGCCTGCTCATCCTGTGACCTTCTTGAATCATCTTATAAAACACTGAACACACCTGCATCCCTGGGTACGGACTATTTCCTGTAACACCAACAAACATACATTTGAAACACTTTAGTGTTTTGTTGTTGCAGGAAAAAAAGAGTGTTCATCCAGCGCTGCTGGTTTTAGTCAATAATGACTTGATTATATTATTGAGTCCCCTAAGTGATGTTGCAGCTCTGGGAGCATCATCACCGCCTCTAATGAGGCCCCAGTCTGCTCATATTGATGAGAATAATGGCTCAGACATTACAAAGCAGATGCAACAGCAAAAGTTGAACTGGAAATGTTACCCAGAGAGAAGATTTCCCACAGCAGGATGCCGTAGGACCACACGTCACTCTCAAAGGTGTAGATGCAGTCAAAGATACTCTCAGGGGACATCCACTTGACAGGCAGACGGGCCTAGGACAACGTCAAGTTCATGTATGCAGTTAGAAAAAAATAAAAAATATGCTGACTAATGTCGGATGATGAGCAGAGAAGGAACAGAGGGATCAGCTGAAAGCCAAACTCACGTTTCCGCGCAGCACATAACTGGCGTCAGTGGTGATGTCCCGAGCCAAGCCGAAGTCGCAGATCTTCGCCACCCTGCCGTGAGTCAGCAGAACGTTCCTGGCTGCAAGGTCTCTGTGGATACACTGCAATCAAAACAACAAACACTAAAATGTGTCGCCCTTATAACTGGATTCTGTGTAAGCAGATGATCAAGGCCCGATCAGGTTCATAAAAATGACAAATGTAAAATTTAGGGGGAAAGGGAAGCAGGATAATGGAATAAAGTAAAGGACAATGTTGATGGAATCTCTGAAACAATCAGTATTTATGGAAAGCTAAGTGTCACCTGTGAATCTTCATCTGATGACAACACACTTTTTATGCCTTTGTGGAACATTTCAATTTCAATTTATTTTATTTTAGTCATTTAAAAGGAAAAAGAAAGAATACAATAAAACAGAATCTCAATTATAGTAACCAAAAAGGTGTAGGCTGAAGCCTAGCTTTTTATTCCTACCCTATTTACTCAATCACATTACTTATCATGAAAAAATAACAAAGAAAGATAAAAGTAATATAGTCATAAAAATGAAAATAAGATAAAAGTAATAAAAATGCTTATCATCATTGAAATATAGTGAACAACAACAAACATAATTCAGCAAGAGGAGAAATACACAGAACTAAAGACAGAACTATACAAAACTACCAGTAATCGTAATAAATCCATGTATGATATAGATCAAAACAGAAATTTGAATACTATTGTGCAAGAACATTACATTTTCATTGACATCTATCAGACACACTAGACCACATATGGTCATTACCAGGGATGTGTATTTTTGAAATTCTGGCGATACGATACATATCGCGATACAGGGGAGACGATACGATACATCATGATATATTGCGATACATTCAGTCAGACGTTACAAGCAATTTTTTTTTACTGAATTTATTGTAAGAATGTTCAATAAACAGTCCAAACTGATACGTAACAGGTTTAACATGAGGTATCTGAACCATGATGGAGGGATTTACATTTCAATGGTGGAAACAAAACCCGTTGCACACTGCTGCCAACTAGCGGGTGGCGATTGAATTGCACAAAACGAAAAGAAAATACACAAAAGTTTGCATGTAAATTCTTTCAAGAATTAGATACACAGCTTTTGAATATCGATGTAATAATCGCAGGAAAAAATATCACAATATATTGCCATATCGATATTTCTGATACACGGCTTTTGGATATCGATATAATATTGCTGGAAAAAATATCACGATATATTGCCATATCGATATTTTCTACATCCCTAGTCATTACGGTAGTATGACATCATCTTATTGACGTACATTTTTTTTGTTACATGCCCTGATTCCAGTGTCCAAGTTATTCCATAATTTGACTCCTACTGCAGTACAACTCTGGCTCCTAACATGTGTTCTTACTTCTCTCTCACAAATTGTCCTTCCCCCCTTAGATCATACTGAATTTCTTTGACCTGGAATAGCTTCTGCATACAGTTCGGAAATATTTTATTTAGTACTTTATAGATTACTTGTGCTGCTTGGAGTTTGACCAGATCTGTAAATTTTAGTAGTTTTAGTTTTATAAACAGGGGGAGTGTTGGTGCATGGTAATCAGAGTTTGTAATTACTCTTATTGCCCTCTTCTGTAATAAAACTATGGCTATCTGAGATTTGTAAGTGTTTCCCCAGACTTCCAGACAATACATCATGTGAGGAAGTACTAATGATTGGTATAAAAGTAATAAGGATTTCCCATTTAGAATGTGTTTAGATTTATTTAAGACTGCAATAATTTTAGACATCCTAGTTTTTACATTTTCTATGTGCGGCTTTCTGTGGAGTGGCAGACCGGGGTGGTGGTCCCCATCTTTAAGAAGGGTGACCAGAGGGTGTGTTCCAACTATAGGGGGATCACACTCCTCAGCCTCCCTGGAAAGGTCTACTCCAAGGTAATGGAGAGGAGGGTTCGATCGATAGTTGAATCTCAGATTGGGGAGGAGCAATGTGGTTTTCGTCCTGGCAGTGGAACTGTGAACCAGCTCTATACCCTTGCAAGGGTGATGGAGGGGGCATGGGAGTTTGCCCAACCAATCCACATGTGTTTTGTGGATTTGGAGAAGGCTTATGACCGTGTCCCCAGGGGCACCCTGTGGGGGACGCTCCAGGAGTATGGGGTGGGTGGCTTTCTGTTAAGGGCCATTCAGTCCCTTTACCAGAGGAGCGTGAGTTTGGTCCGCATAGCCGGTAGTAAGTCAGACCTGTTCCCGGTGAGGGTTGGACTCCGCTAGGGCTGCCCTTTATCACCGGTTCTGTTCATTACCTTTATGGACAGAATTTCTAGGCGCAGCCGTGGTGTGGAGTGTGTCAAGTTTGGTGGCCGGAGAATCTCGTCTCTGCTTTTTGCGGATGATGTGGTCCTCCTAGCTTCATCCAGCTCTGACCTTCAGCTCTTGCTGGGTAGGTTCACGGCCGAGTGTGAAGCGGCTGGGATGAGGATCAGCACCTCCAAATCTGAGACCATGGTTCTCGACCGGAAAAGGGTGGCTTGCCAACTCCGGGTCGGGAGAGAGGTCCTACCTCAAGTGGAGGAGTTTAAGTATCTTGGGGTCTTGTTCACGAGTGAGGGTAGGAGGGATCGGGAGATCGACAGGCAGATTGGTTCGGCGTCTGCAGTGATGCGGACGCTGAGCCGATCTGTCGTGGTGAAGAGGGAGCTGAGCCAGAAAGTCAGGCTCTCGATTTACCGGTCGGTCTACGTCCCAATCCTCACCTATGGTCATGAGCTTTGGGTAATGACCGAAAGAACGAGATTGCGGATACAAGCGGCCGAAATGAGTTTCCTCCATAGGAGGGCCGGGCTCAGCCTTAGAGATAGGGTGAGGAGCTCGGATATTCGGGAGGGACTCGGAGTAGAACCGCTGCTCCTCCGGATCGAAAGGAGCCAGTTGAGGTGGTTTGGGCATCTGGTCAGGATGCCTCCTGGACGCCTCCCTGGGGAGGTGTTTCGGGCATGTCCTGCCGGCAGGAGGCCCCCGGGTCGACCCAGGACACGTTGGAGAGGTTACATCTCCAATCTGGTCTGGGAACGCCTTGGGGTCCTGCCGGAGGAGCTGGTGGAGAAGGCTGGGGAGAGGATGGTCTGGAGCTCCCTAGTTGGGATGCTGCCTCCGCGACCCGGACCCGGATAAGCGGAGGAAGACGACGACAATGACGACGGCTTCCAACTCAGCCTTTGGTGTAATGTGACACCCAAGAATTTAATTTTATTTACTCTTTCTATTTCTACCCCATTAATTATTAATTTAGGAAGATTCTTTAGTTTTTGTTTTCCAAATATAGTGTATTTAGTTTTGCTTAGATTTAATGATAATTTGTTACTGTCAAACCAGGTCTTTAGTATTTCTAGTTCACTTCCAACGATATTCAGTAGTTGTTCTATGTCTTTCCCTGTGATATACATATTAGTATCATCTGCAAAGAGAATATAGTTCAATTGATTAGTTACTTTATTGATGTCATTTATGTAAAGTGTGAATAACTTGGGTCCTAGTAAATGGGCTTTTGATGCCATAAAAATCCAATAAGCCCTAAAATTCATGCGGAGCTCTTTATTCTCTGGAACATAACTAAAGACACTTTCTTCTCTAGTGGAGACAAACGTGTTACAAAGTGGTGGTTGCACAGTGGGGCACAGTGTTTGAGATATTCATTTAAAGGATGAAACATCTACCAAACATAATGTACCACCAATGTGTGTTTTATGTTTGCACTTACAGAGATAACACTCACACACCTTCTAAATATGTACAGATTTCTTCACAGATATCACTTTATATGGTTGCTAATTTAATCAAATTTTAGTCACGATTACAATCTGAGTTTTTGGATGATCATAAAAACAAAACAAGCCGATTATTTGTTCCTCCCTTGCGGTTTACAGCACTAGGGAAAGCCACAGAGTTCTCAGTAGCAACAGAAAACACTACTGTCACATGCCTAGATCAGATTAAGAGCCTTGGTATAATTCTGTCCTACCATTCTCATATCAGTCCTGTTACTCGATCAGAGATTACTACCACTTGCGAAATATTGACCGCTTACGTCCATCTCTGTCTAATCGCTCCACTGCGATTTTAGTCAACAGCTCGGTCAATTCTCACCTAGATTAATGTAACTCACAACCATCCCTGCAAACAGTCAATGTCACATGGACATGCAGATCATGTATATATTGAGTACTCGAGCTTACTCGAGGTGAACCGTAAGCTGGATAATGTCCTTGCGGCGTTGCCTGTATTAGTACGCAAGATGGATGTCATCTCGGAGAGGGTCGCCGGACGATGTGGGGAGGTTTAGAACACGTAAAATTGGCTTCACGGTGGACATGAATGACCACTTATAGACTCCAAGGCAGAGAGGAAAATTATCTCTGCCTGCCCCAAACAAAGTCATGTTTATCCTTATCTGTCGCCATAGCAGCCTCTCAAGGCTGCCTCAACACATCCCCACGAAAGGAGGAATGCTGACAGATGCTGTGTCCCGACTTTCACCCTCTTCCTTCAGATTGAGACATCTGCGGGAAACTCAATGTGCTCTCTGTTCCTTATCTCTCCCTCCCACCTGTTGGTCTGCAGCTGGTCGATGCGCCGCAGTGGCAGCTCCCATTGGAGGCTTCAGGATCCCGCCCAACCCCGCCTCCCCATCGGACTCTGATGTTTTGTATCTGTACTGTTTGTGCAGCTATGTTGAGGAGTTTTTTTGTATAATAGAGTTACTCCCCGCTGGGTCTAACTCTGCTATGCCTTTTTTTTTACCTTACCCCCAATTATCCTCATGTAACACCCTTTTCATCTATCTATTAAGGTAGCGTGACTCATGTTGCGAATGACCGCAGTCACCAATTCTTGTCATGTGTCTTACCCATGTATGTCTGATCTTTGAATTGTGTGCATTGAAACTCAATTTCGTTTCTCTGTATGTCCTGCACATGTGGTATAAATGACAATAAATGACTTTGACTTTGAGTCTGTCGGTCCAGACAACGCCTGTAGGACGTCCAAACTAGGTCTTCACACAATTGCTCCCTCATATATCTTGCAGCTCGTACAGTCTCCCGCTTGCTCAGATCCAAAGCTTCCACCAAACTGCACAATCCACCTGCTCTTCTTGGCAGCATGGGAAGTCGAGCATTCAACAGATCTGCCCCCTCCCTGTGGAATTCACTACCCTACTACCTTACTACCCTTCACCATTTCAAGGCTGAACTCAAAACTCACCTGTTCAAGATGGCCTATTCCTTGAAACTGTTCTTTATGTGTTTTATCGAGGTTTTCAATTTACTAGTCATTTACTGTAACCATTTTCCTTCGTTGTGCTTGTTTGAATGTTTTCTTTAACTGTACCTTGAGTTTTTAGAAAGGTGCTTCAAATAAAATGTATTATTATTATTATTATTATTATTATTATTATTATTATTATTATCTGCACACACTAGCTCCAGCAATTCAGTCTCTCATCATCAAGCAGAGACTGGCGTCTCCTCCACCTCTATATACAGACGCAGCAGCGCTGATCATTAATACACACCAGCCATGAGACAGTGCGGTCCTGCAGACACAGCTGCTCTCCTCTCCCCGCAGACATACTAGCCTCAGCTCACCGCCACAATGTTTTAAGGCAGTAAAACCCCCTGATTACTTCGTACACTTTTCTCAGACAGGCATTAACATTTTCACACTTGTCTCTCTTTTTTAAACACTCTCAAAGTTCAAACCTTTGTACTGTTGGATGCAGAACACATGCACTGTAAAAAAAAAAAAAAGCATGCAAATTTGCAGAAAAAAACATTTGTGAAACTGCGAGGCCTCGAATGCTGACCCACGTTATAGCGAGGGACCACAGTACACATGAGTGATAGGAGAATATATGCGCATGAGTGGAAAGTATGTGTGCAAGTACAATACATGTGTGTGACAGAAGGATGTCTGTGTTTGAGAGGAAAATGTACGTGAGTGAGTGGAGAATGTGTTTATATGAGACAAGGATGAAAGTGTGTGTGAAAATAATATGTATGAAAGAAAAATATGTTTGTGTGAAAAGAGTATGGGCGTGTGAGAGAAGAATGTATGTGAATGTGAAGAGTATGTCTGTGTGTGTAAGTGGACTACATGTGTGTGTGTGTGTGTGTGTTAAAGTTAAAGTCCCATTAGTTGTCACACAAACTGATGTGTGTGCGAAAATTTGTTCTCCGCATTTGACCCATCCCCTGGGGGAGCGGTGAGCTGCAGACACAGCCGCGCTCGGGAACCATTTGGTGGTTTAACCCCCCAATCCAACCCCCTAATGCTGAGTGTCAAGCAGGGAGGCATTGATTCCCATTTTTTTAAAGTCTTTGGTATGACCCGACCAGGAATCGAACCCTGATCTCCCAGTCTCAGGGCGGACACTCTAACACTAGGCCACTGAGCAGGTGTGTGTGTGTATGTGTGTGCGCGCGTGCGCAGAGATACAGTAAATGTGTGTATGAGTGGGAAATGCATGCATACGTGAGAGTAACAGAATAAATTATGGCCTAGACGGACCCTTGTGCAATCCTCATAAACCCAAAATACACACAAAGTACACACTGTTTCTAAGTAACAGAGGCTGGTAGAAGCTGAAGAGTGGCTGAGGTTGCTGATCGGAGCAGACGCAAGCAGCACATGACCAGTCAGCTCGGTGTTGTCACAGCGCGAGTGCCACAATTAGCTTGTGGTTGTTTCAGAACCTTTTGGGTTACAATCACCCTCTTGTTTATTTATTTTTTTGTTCTGATCTATTAGATTCATTATGAATCAGATCCATGTTCTTTGTTTTAATCTACACTGTAATTTGGTCTTTTCCACTGTGTCACACTCCATGTGATTGGACCATGTCTACTACAGGGCCAAACTTCTTCGACTTAAATTAGAGGTGGTCTCTGCCCAGAGGAAACAGCATTCAAAATTCTCCTGCATATCTGGATATATTAACATTATCCACTATATAGTTCAGTTTTAAAAGTATGAAAAAGTACTGAAATAGTCACAACTTTATAAAAACGTGTGTCATGTGTGCAGTAGAATCAAATGTTTTCCAGTAATACATCTGGCCTTATTCAGCTTTTTCAGCATTTTTAAATAATCGATATGGCTCTTTTTGGATCTTTACCAACTTTCCTCTAGCTGTTTAATGTTCCACTATGTTCAGCAGATAGCTGCTAACACTCAATCTGCTGAGTATAGGGTTCGGTTCTGTGAAGTGAGAGGACTTGTCTTTTCCTTTTATCGCCTGACGCCAAAAGGCAAACGGAGGGCTATAATGTCCTTTAATTTGTGTTCGTCTGTTTGCGTGTTTGTTAGAAAAACCTTGCATGAACCACTAGATAAACTTTTATGAAACTTCAAAACATAAACCATTGGTAAACATTTAACGGTTTAGCTTTTATTAATTCAACATGGCTACCACAAAGCAAATGACCTTAGAAAATACAAGATGTCTCTAATCCATTCAGTTTGACGGATATTTACCTGCCTGTGATTTAAGAAGAAGAAGAAGAAGAAAATATCATTTCTATAGCGCCTCTCAAGATAAAAATCACGAGGCGCTTCACAAAAACAAAAAATATAAAAATTGTAAAGATATAAAAAAGCATTTTGAAAATGTTTAAAAATATATTTAAAATGAACAAGAATAAGCTATTGTGATTTAAAAGAAAAAATGTTAAGAAAGAGAGAGTGAATAGGAAAGAGGGAAATCAGTGGATCCTGAGGAAGGTGGAATCGGTGGGGAGAGCAGAATAAAGAGAGAGTGGTGAAGAAGGTCATACAAAAGCCAGCTTGAACAAGTGAGTCTTCAGCTGCTTTTTAAAGGAGACCACTGAGTCCACTGATCTCAGGCTCAGGGGGAGAGAGGTCCAGAGTCTGGGGGCCCCAGCAGCAAATGATCTGTCACCTTTGACCTTTAGCCTGGTGCTGCACAACCAGTAGGCTTTGGTCACTGGACCTCAGGGACCTGCTGGGGGCATAGGGACTAAGAAGATCACCAATGTAAGATGGTGCTTGTCCATGTAAGGCCCTATAGACCAGAACCAGGATCTTGAAATGAACCCTGAAGTTGACTGGCAGCCAGTGAAGCTGAAGGAGAAGCGGGGTGATGTGGGTGTGTTTGGAGGACTTGGTCAGAAGCCGAGCACAGATATGAATGGGACTCAGCTTAGCAATGTTCCTGAGATGGAAGAGCGAACAAGAGAACTGACATGAGAATCCAGGGTGAGAGCTGGGTCAAAGGTTGTTAAGACTCCAGCAGCAGCATTATGAACAAGCTGCAGTTGCTTCACAGCTTTTTTAGAAAGACCAGTTAGGAGACCATTGCAGTGGTCCAACCGAATAGAAATAAAAGCATGAATGATTTTCTCTGAGTCTGGGATATCAAAAGATATCACAACTTATGAAATCATCCTGTTAGCAGCAGAGTGTTGGTTTTTTTCTATATCAGGAACATTGTTAAGCTGAGTCCCATTCTGTCCCGCTCTGAACTTGAAACAGTTCTCCACACCTTCATCTCCTCACGCTTAGAGTACTGTAACTTGCATTTCACGTGTCTGAGCAGAACCTCCCTGAACCGTCTACAGGTGGTTCAGAAAGCCTGTGCTCGGCTTGTGACCCAATCCTCTAAGTGCACCCACATCACCCCGCTTGTCCTCCAGATTCACTAGCTGCCGGTTAACTTCAGAGTTCATTTCAGGTTGACCTGCACTTGGAGTGAGGAACCACCGACAGCTCACTGTCTGTTGAGCGAAGGGCCAGCAATGGGGCATGTCTATGCAGGAGGCTGGCAAGATAAGATGCCTCTTGTAGGGCCTTATAAGTCAGTAACGAGACCTTATAGTTAGCCCTCTATTGCACCGGAGGCCAGTGAAGGGATGCCAACAAAGGAGTGATATGCTCCCAGCACCAGTGCCCTTCACAGACCTTGCAGCAGAGTTCTGGACCAACTGCAGGCGTGCAACCACGCCCTGACTCAGGCCGACATGCAATGCATTGTAGTAGAAAAGCCTTGACAAAATAAACATGTATTGATGGTCTTTTAAAAGATCGAGCTGGTTGACAAATGTTTCTAGTCTAGTTACAAAGATTTTCTCTAGTATCTTTGAGAACTGCTGTAGTAGAGATAGGTCTGTAGCTGCAAGCTAACTGCTTATCACCACTTATGTAAATGTAAATAATTCTGGCTATTTTCATTTGTTCAGGAAACATACCACTTGAAAAAGATTTTTTTATTGCAGCCCAGTGTGAGTAAAACTGAGTTATAGCCATTTTGTGTTTGCCAAAGTTGATTGACAGGGTGGCCATCTCAAATGTCTGATCTCATTCTTGTATTTACACCCAATAGGACTCTGAGATCCTAAGGTAACAATCAGCTGGTAGAACCTCCGGTCAGAACAAAACAAGGTAGAGGTGCTATTAACTACTATGCTGCTCACATATGGAATCAGCTTCCCCGGGACCTCAGATGCGCCCCAACCCTAGTGCTGTGCAACAAGAGTGAAGGCAGCAACATTAGGTTTGTGTTGTAAATGTTCCTCCAGCTGACAGCAAGCTTTCTGCACGCATGTTGGTTCTGAGCATTAACATGATTTATTAAGTAGCACATTACCTGCTCAATAAATGTGAACAGTGTGGTAAAGCCTTACATTTTTAGAGGTAATGTACTCCATTCCTTTGGCAACCTGGTAGGAAAAGCTGAGGAGATCTTCAACGTCCAGAGACAACTCATCTATCTCATCTAAAAATAGATATCATCAGATTCAGAAGAGGAAAAAATGGTTTGAGCACTCTTTCACCGACAGCTGGAAACAAAGTGATTACCTGATTGGGAGGACCGTTCTTTCTCAGAAGGGTGCATGGGCATATATCCTGGACCAGTCACACCTCTGCTACACACAGAAATACACACAGTATGTACAATTAGCCACATATCAGTTATAATCACAGTTAAACGATTGGCACGCATAAACACCTTGTTGGCTCCGTCTGGTTGGAGATGTTGCGATAGTAACCATCCCCAACCTGGGAATTTAGGAAGGACTGCCTTTTTCTTCTGAGGAAGTTGAGCAGGTCACCATAGCAACAGTACTCTGTGATCACTAAAATTGGGCCTGGCAAGATGAAGACATACAAAAATAAATAAATTCAGCGAAACAATGAAGATTAGACAAAGGGTGGTGGTGCTGTGTTTCTTCAGCCCTTTGTTAGTCGCTCTGAGGACACAAAACAAGCTCCTCAGGGTTCAACAATAAGTGTGTTTTACAAGCAACCAATATTTTTTATTAAAAGATGTTGAACACATTTCTGTCAGAATTGAATAACTCATCATCAGGACCTTTGTGTGCCATTTGGACATCAGTTCTAAAGCTTAGAGTGGTCATCACAGCAACCTACACTGTAGAACCCATTATAAATGCCGCATAACAATCAATGCTGAGGTCTAGGCGGGCAGGTAAATGATATTGATCGACTGTAAAGTCGTGACAAGTCAAACTGAATCATGTCTTAACATCAGAGCTGGGCGGTATCTGATTTTTAATCAGACATTGGGTACTCAGTCTAAACATTTGAGACAGACTCCCAAACAACATTAACTTAAAGCTTTGGAATCTGCCAGGGTTTCTCTGTAACTACGTTTACATGCGCCAATTTCCCCTATCCGATTCAAATCTTGGCTGATCAGAAATCCAAAATCTCTGTTTACATGGACACTAACCGAAATGATCCGATCATGCCATGAGTATACATGCACCAAGCATTCAATCAGATTAAATAGGTTGAGCATGCGCAGACTCGTCTTTCCCGGAAAACAAATTGTAAAAAAAACACCATCTTGTCCGCACGTCTTTTCCCTTGCATTTTATTTTCCTCTTCTCTAGCTTTATCTGTTGACTTTTGTTTTTTTTCCCCCCCATTATGGACTACTTTGGTTTGCCTCCCGCCATGTTTTCGACTGCAAAGGCGTCGAGAGATCACGCTGAAGTTGCACACATGCACAGTGGGCATTATTTTCCTCCAGCAATCCAAATGGGTGTGTACATGGGCGTCAATCGGACAAAACCACCTCTCTGAATCGGAATGAAATTTCATTGGGTTAGTGTTACTGTGCCCATGTAAACATAGCTGATTGCCATTTGGTTGTGTCGATCTGCCATGGTGAAGCAAGAAGTGAGTTGAAAGGCAAAGTTGCCAATATTCCAACCCCTACTTATGGGCATGAGCTGCGGGCAATGACCGAAAGAACAAGATTCCAAAATGAGCGTCATCATTTCTCGTGACTGACCAGCACATTTTAGACACCACTGAATAAACTTAAATGCTCCAGCATTCTCAACAAGTAAACAGCACCAAGTTAATTTTCAAATTTCCCACAAAATCACTGTTTGCTTGATTGCTGCTTTTTTTTTACCAAAAGTTCTGTCTGCTAGAAACACTAATAAAAAACTGAGCTGAATAGCTGCCTTGAAAAACTGGAGTTAAAATGGCATAAAACAAAAGCAGCATACACGTTAAAACCAAACGGCCAGAAAACATTTTATTATAAGGTGAAGTTAGTGAAAGTTAGCCATCTCATCAAACCAAAATAAATGACTCTGTTAGCCACAGCGCCGCTTACAGAGACAGGGCTAGGCTGGCTTTTTTTTTTTTTTGCTCTCTTTTTAACCCTTTAACGCCCTCACCAAGATAAAAAGGATAAACACATCCCACTTTAGCATTTTTGACGTGGGGCAATAAGGCCTTTAGTTTAATGTTGTAGCGTACTCAAAGGCCAGTATTTTCATCAAAATGACCAGAAATGTACTTTTTAATTTGCAGACACAAACACCCCATCTGTCTGGCCTCCAAACAAGAAAGCCCTGCACAAGACCTTGTCACCGAACAATTATTAATATTAATAATTTACTAATTTTAAGGTAATATTTATAATAATGTTAAACTTTTTCCTCAAACTTCTCTATATTCTTTAGAATTTTCTTGTTTTACTAATATTTTTCTTGTTCATTTAATGCTTAAATGTGATGTAGCAGCTTTAGAAATGCTCAACTGGTTGAGCAGACAGGCAAAGGGTAAAATCTGGTTAATTGGTTTGTTAATACAGAGTGAGTGATGTTACTTAAAATTAGCGTTTTTAAAATTGTAGAAGTTTCAAGCTAAATATTGGGTAAAATATCAATTTTTTTCCAGTAAACAGGTTCAAGTCTAATTAAGTCACAAGTCACTGAGGTAAAAAGTCTAACTCAAGTCCAAGTCCTCAAAAAATGTATCAAGTCAAGTCTAAAGTCATAAAACGAATGACTCAGGTTTACACCTCTGGTAAATTTCATTATTTTTATGTAGCTACAGGAGCCACAGTCAATGGTTTTGTGACTGCAGAGAAAAAGTTACAAAACGGTGATTGCAGAAAATAACTTCTCGTTCAGCTCATGGATGCAATTTTCACTTTAGAAGTGGGGGGGGGGGGGTATCTTTACAGTATGTTCTAATGGGAAACAGGCTTCAACACAAACGGTTGTTTTCCGCTTGGTCCTAGAGCTCAACCAGTGTCAATTTAATGTAGCGTAATATTGTTTTTGAATGGTAAAAAGTGCAGGGGTCAAACCTTGACTTTGGAAAAAGTGGGGGGGGGGGGGAATGTGTTCCCCCCCCCCCCCCCCCCCCCCCCCCCCCCCCCCCCAAGATTACGTCCATGGTTCAACTTATTAGGAATCCATAAGAGAGATTATGATGGAACTTTTTGACCCATTCAGTCAAAAAGAAGAGGTGCTAAAAGGTGACCTTATGCAGACCTAGGACTTGCAGGTGAGATTAAATCTTAAAGCTGTGCTGGGAATGTCTCTAGATCTCTAGATGACCTAGAGGAGGTATGTGGGCTTAAGTGGTTGTTCCCAGAAGAAGCTGAAGATGGATGAATAGATGAAATAACAATGTAACTGATAGAATACTTTTGTTGAGCCCCATTACTTAGAAGTCAGAGCACATTTGTTAAAAATATCTGACCTGACTTACTGAAGGTACTATGTTTGTTAGTAGTGGTTTCTCTCACCTCCAACAGTGCAGGCTCCAAGCAGGTTCACAATGTTCACATGGTTTCCAAGGTAACTGAGAACCTTCAGCTCTGACATCAGCGCCTCCTTCTCCGTGGAGTGAGCATTAGCTAAGATGACATCATCATTAATACATGAGTGGTTTTCTACATAGTGTAAGATGAGCACATATGTTGTGATGACACAATTAAAACCTGAGAAACTTACGTTTTAGCATCTTGACAGCGACAGTCGTAACCGTGTCTACCGAGCAAAGGCCATACGCTGTGGCTCTTACCACCTTCCCAAAAGCCCCAGAGCCTAGAGTTTTACCTTTAAGTACACACACAAGAAACAATCCTTGCTTACTCATTTATATAAACATTTTTTAAACGGTGACATGCTATACATTAGGATCACGGATGCAGCTGTACCAAAGCGAAGCTTCTGTCGGGGAAACTCCCATTTGATGTCATATGGCAGCTGGAGAGGGTCGACGTAGATGTAGTTGTTTCCATTGATGCTCTCAATGACCTTCCACTGAATCTGAAACTTTGGTTTCTGTTGAAAGACAAGAAGGTCACTGGCTGATACGCGTAAAGCTGATACTGCTCTAAAATCGAATATACTGTCAAGATCGGCTTCCTGGACATTCTTATTACATGTGACTGTATGGAAATCTCTCAGATCTTTGGCCTCTTTTCATAAATCTTCTAAGTTTTGATAAATGAATGCACTTTGGTTGACAGCCTGTGTCTAGATGTTACCGTTAGGAACCCCCAGCAGATGCACACACTGGTTCTTAAGAAGCCTGACTCATCACAGTGTAATACAAGCAGCATGCTCAGAGGGGCATATTAGTCAAGAAATCCTTTAAATACACCACGTATACACTCTGAATAGTTGATTGACTCCCTTCACGTTCATTAGGACACATTCAAGTCAATTAAAAGAGATTTTTTTGCTCTTCTTTGCACATCACCACCACTGAGCGCAGTAAGACAGAAGCTTCCAGCTTTACCACGCTCCACACAGCATGGAGGCAGACCTTATTAATAAATGAGAATGGGCTTTTTGCCAGCAGCTACCGAAGACATATGCTTTTCTAGGATGAAAGCTGCACACCAAAGCTGCTGAATGATTTAAAAGTGGTGTGTATGAACTGATTTGTTGGCCTGAACAGGATAGGCGGTTACAGATGTGATATTTATGACTCCAGGGTTTTGCAAGTTACGATTGCTGGAATATGGTGGATATGACCATGCATCCATTTTCTACATCTGCTTGTTCCTGTGCAGAGCTGCAGGGGGGAGTACTGAAGTCCATCTCCACCAGTGATTGGGAGGAAAAAGGTCGCTAGTCCACCACAGTCACTGTATGAGCCAGTTTATGATGGTGAAGCTTCCCAGTCATCCAGATCATGGTACCCCAAAGCAACATCCCATATGTGGCAAAAGTCTCAGGGAATCTTAGAATAATCTTCTCCAAACACAACATCCCAGTAAACTTTAACTCATTCACTGCCACTGACGACTAAAGTCGTCATTTTAGATCCAACCGTTCACTGCCAATGACGACTAAAGTCGTCATTTGCATTTTTTTACTGTTTGAGCATCGGAACGAGCCCCCGCGCTGAGAGAACAAACATCTCAGCCCTGAAGCCGATCTTCATCCGCATACGTCACAGATCACATGATCAGGAAGCAGACCATCCATGTGTTTGGAGATCGTTTTGGGCCGTTCCTGTAAAAAAAGTGAGGCGCGAACCGGAAAAGTGTCTGCCGACCACAATTTGACAACGGATTATGAAAGAACGGATAACGCTCGAAACACACGGCTTCTTCCTGATGTAAGAGGTGAGTCTCCTCTTTGTTTAGGTTGTTTTGGCATCGACATCATGCTAGCACGCAACGTTCTGTGACTCTTAAAAAAACAGTAAAAACGGTGAGAAACGCTGGCAGCGAAGGCCGTTAGTGATCAGGAAACGGCTGGCAGTGAATGAGTTAAAAGCAACAACACCTTCAGACAGAAACTGGTCCATCCAAAGGACAAGGCACCCATACAGAAGCTTAGTGGCGTCGTTTATACAGTCCAAAGTAGTAAGGACACATTCTGGACAAATGGGCCATTCCCATCTGTACCGGGTCGGCCCGGGCCGGGTAGCGTAGGTTGTTTACATATCTGGGTGGCCTGGTATTTTTCCGGGCCAACCAAGGCTCATTCTCAGCCCTCTTCTCGAGGGGGTCTGCTTCAGGCTGACCAGGGCCAACACACCCACTGCTGACAGCAAATTCACACCTTCCATTAGAGCAAGCCTCTGATTGGTGGGTAGAATCAGCCCACATGGGCTTAAGACAAGGATGTGTGGAATCAACCGGGCCAGGCAGGGGACGACTGGGGCTACCCGGCCCGGGCCGACCCGGTACAGATGGGAATGGCCCAAAAGATAGATGGTTTGTGAAAGGAGATAATGAAGCTATCTTTGTCAAACGGGAACTATGTACATTAAATAGAGGAGGTGGCCTCAGGTTTAACCTTTCCAGTACCTATAATGCAGCTCTGAACCCAATTTCCACTAATTCAGTCTAGGTCACACCCTCCTGCATCTAATCAATACCATTCCCACAAAATTGAGGCTAACAACTCAGGGGGTAGGAAGGAGGGGTATTCACAGTTAGTTTCTGCTCATTAAGCAACAAAAGACAGCTACAGTTTAGCTTGACCCTCCCTTACTCCAGTCAGAATTGGCAAAGCTCGTCAGATGAGAAGAGAAACGTCTTCAAGAAATCAAATTGGGGCGCCAGTTTAGAATCCCTGCTTAGGATTTAAACCCAGGACCTTCTTGCTGTAAGGCAAAAGTGTTAAACAGCAATAAATTAATTATTTTCAAAATTATACATTTTTATATGTCCCAAGTCAAACACATTAATAGGCCGCAAGGTGTTACGGTCCCCCCCGTTCTACCACTAGATGCTGTTTCTACGCATGGTCTGAGGTTTTCTTATAATTAGGAATATTTCCACACATAGGTACAAAAATTAATGCCACACAATGCAGGGGTGGACTGGCCTATCTGGCAGACTGGCACTGTCCCAGTGGGCCGCTTGGGCCAACTCAAACCACCTGCGCACCCCCCCCCCCCCCCCCCCATGGACATCAGCAACAGACACATAATCTTCTACTCACTCCAGAAATGCATTACGTATCCAACAGGGTGCACACCATCAGGGTAGGAAGGTGCTCCATTTGCCATTTGAAAAGTGGAGAAAAGTTTAGCAATTGCATTTTGCATTTTGAGACCAGCTGACCAGATCCATGGTTAATAAAAATCCAGAGAGGAATGTAGAGGTGCTCCAGATAGAGAGCCAGGACAAAGAGTGGCAAGCACGACAGGGTTAGGAGGAAGAAAAGAAAAGGCATGTGTTCCCCTCAAGACCAGGAAGTAAAAAACAAAACAAAAAAAAATTAAAAAATAATAAGTTGAGCCCCCCCCCCCTCCCCCCCAGCTCTACTCAGAGGGCATTGCGCCAAGAAATCTAGTTATTTGGATGTTTTTATTGGCAAACTTGAGTTCTATTTGCTTACATGATGCTTCAAAACCCCCCAAATGTTTTGATTCCACATTTAATATTTCACCGGCTAACTGAAGAATTTGAAATTGAGCTTTTGGATTTTGAGTTTATTTATTTTTTTTGCCATTGTTACAGTTTCACCTTTGAACCTCACATGACCTCAAGGACTTTTAAATGGGACCTGGCACCAACAAAAGCAGTAAACTTCATAATTCTGCTTCTGTGGATTTGGCTTGTGGTATAATAAGTTTCATTCATCATATGTTGTTGAGTCTTTAGTTGCCTAATTTTTGAACACACCGTAAACCAACAAATGTTTAAATTAAAGCAAGTGTTGCTTTTCTCTTATCTCACCTGCATGTACTTGTATAAAAGCACAACTAGAAACAGGACGAGGAAGGCGCCAGTAGCCAACATGCCAGTTAGAAGAGGTGTGAAGAGTCTATGAGGGACAACTCGCTCTGTGATAAAACACACACACACACACACACACACACACACACACACACACACACACACACACACACCAAAATCAGACATCTCATGGATTACATTTCAGTATAAACAAGGTTTTAACGGCAGTGACACAAACGTCTAAACGTGTGTGGATCTATACAACAGATGCTTCACCCTAAACTTGTTCTAATCCCACATCCAAAAACTATCTGACCTCAGCAATTTTTCCTCCCTACAAATTTCTCTGACTCTGCACATTTAGCCTAAACTTCGTAAAGTTAAAATTAATCCAAACACACACACAGCAGATGCATCCTCTTCTTCTTTTGTAATGACGGACAGCTGCAGCAGTGGTGTTTATTTGTGTGATTAGGATTAGCAAATCCACCCCACATAATCCCAGTTTGCACAGTCAGCATAGGCTAATCTTATTCAATCTGTACCCAGCAACCACACACCTGGTCTCCAAAGACCTAGGGTCAATGGGGTTGTGTATGTATGCAAATAATGTCTTTGCAATAAAGGTAACCTCCCTCCCGCATACTGTGGTCACTTCTCTCTATCGGTCGTGTGTGTGTGTGTGTGTGTGTGTGTGTGTGTGTGTGTGTGTGTGTGTGTGTGTGTGTGTGTGTGTGCGTGCGTGTGTGTGTGTGTGTGTTACCACTGATGGAGAACAGTGTGTAGGCCTCCTCTCCCTCCGTGGAGGCCACACACTCCAGGGTGTGGAACTGAGCGTGCTCCTTGGTAACATTCAGGCGGCTCTCCACCTCGCTCCGGCCGAAGGGTGACTCAGACAGGATGGTCACCTCTGTGGTCTCCCAATGGGTGGCATTGGGCAGGAGGGAGCACCTAATGTCAGGGTGGAGTTCATAAAACAGCTTACAGTCAATACAACAAAACTTAGCTGTTGGTTTTTCTGTATTATAAAGGTGATCATTGTTATTTCAACAGAAATACATCATACTCAAATGAGAGGTTAAATATGTAAAAATGAATCAAAATCTAATGTTGCCAGCAATTATTTTGTTTTTAAGTGTGGGTGTATTTTGGCCACTTGTACAAAAAAGTGTTTGTTAGCCTAAAACCTGCTAATCATCCCCCCTGAGAATCTTGTTCACACAGATAAAAGCAGGCTCAGAAGAGCAGTAAAAGCGAGCCATTTTGATTTTTTGTGTTACAAGTACAAATGACCCAACATAAAGGTGCAATAACGGCTAAAACACTGGTCAGTTCTTCCTGCTGTAGTATTTATGAGTGCAATAATTTGGTTTTACATCTGCAGGTTAAGCAGCAGCATAACCACAGAATCGGATTTCTCCACATCCCACTCTGATCTCAACTAAACAAAGTGTAACAGATGTTTCCAGTAGCTCATTTATTACTAAGTAATCTAAAATCTTACAACCAACCTTGTTTGGTTGTAATGCCTTGTGAATGCGCTTTATAAATAAAATTGGATTGGATTGAAAATAACCTAAAAAGGCTCATGAAGTGGATTGCTTTAGTGAGGACAGAAGTAGAATCTTTGGCTTACCTGGTATGGGGCAGCTCACAAACATACCAGCTGATTTTAGGGACTGGATAACCTGCAGCGATGCATCGTACCTGTCCATCAACTGGGCCCTCGTGGGCAACAATTACAGGCTTACCTTGTGGAGGAAAAAGGACAACAATTTAACAACATTAAATAAAAGATGACCACTACACCTACAGTTTTTTCATTATTGTGTATTTAAGGTGCTCTGAAGTCACGTTTAGAATGAATGAATGAATGAATGAATGAATGAATGAATTAATGAATGAATGTTTTATTTGAGTGTCATGAACAGCAAGTGCACAGCCCGTGCAGGTTTATAAGACACTATTTAACAAAAGATGAGGCCATACAGTTACAAAAACAACATTTGACATGACAGAATAAAGTACCAGTTAGAAGCGAAAGTGTGTTTGTAATAGATTACATAAACACTTTGCTACGGGCCGTTCTTTGATTTACTGCTTTAAGAATTCACATTCACGTTGTTTTTGGAAATAATTCATGTTTTAAAGGGAAAATATTTATGAGAAAAGATGTAAAAATTACTTATTTTATATGTGATCACAGTCAGGTATACTCCAGACCCTCCAGAGTTAGAATTAGGGGTAGACTGATGTATCAGGCCAATATATATATTTATATATATATTCTCTAAGTGTATGTGCTGCTGTAACAAGTGAATTTCCCCACTGTGGGATCAATAAAGTATATTCCATTCTATTCTATTCTATTCTAATTATCATTTTTTAAATATATCGGCCTCTGTAGTGAAGCCGACTTGGAGTCAGGCAGCCCATTGCAGATTTAATTTTAAATGTATATTTACATTCCTTCATAACATCTGCATAATAAACGCCCTGAAATGGTTTTCTATAATAAGTTCATATACCAGTTTTGGATATTTAATACTTGGCCAGCTTATTTATTAGTTTTGGTCATTTGAGTTGGACGTCTGATTTTACCCCTGAGCAGTGCGCAAAATTAAGATTTAACAGTTGGTTCAATTCAAAGAGGAAAAACTGATTCAGTTTAAGATTATTTGTGCATCAACTGATGCTATTAGTGACATGCTAGCATCCAAATAAGATGAAAACTGTCAAGATATTGGCCATGAAAATTGGCCCAAAATAACCGGCAGCATATATAGGGAGCCTAGTGGGCCATTCCCATCTGTACCGGGTCGGCCCGGGCCGGGTAGCCCCGGTCGGCCCCAGCCTGGCCCGGTTGATTCCACACATCCTTGTCTTAAGCCCATGTGGGCTGATTATTCTACCCACCAATCAGAGGCTTGCTCTAATGGAAGGTGTGAATTTGCTGTCAGCAGTGGGTGTGTTGGCCCTGGTCGGCCTGAAGCAGACCCCCTCGAGAAGAGGGCTGAGAATGAGCCTTGGTTGGCCCGGAAAAATACCAGGCCACCCAGATATGTAAACAACCTACGCTACCCGGGCTGACCCGGTGGGACTGGCCCATAAGTTACTTCCGCACCACGGGTCCCCGGAAGAAGGAAAAAATGGATGCAAGTCAACGGGGCTAAAAACGTTATTTTCTAACCCACTTTGCCTTACGATCACACATATGTTGTACTGCAATTAAAATGAGAACTATTGATGGGTGTTTTGACCACGCCAGTCACATACTTTGAGATTTATTAGCTTGTAAAAGTTCGTAATTAGCATGACTGCAAACTAGAAATCAGCACATCGCGTCACCACATAATCTCCTCTCCCCAAAGTAGCCGCCACTTACCAAATGACCAGATTTATGATGGTTCTTTCCTCCTGTGGGAAGTTCACTGAACTCACAGCCCTTTCCCCTCAGGTTTCTCTGCGTCTAGTTCAATGACGCCACTTTCGTGAAGCGCATTTGTAGTCCTGGACTTGTTTTCACACAACCTAAAATATCGTTCGAGAATAAGCGCGTTCTTGGTACCAAAATGTGTCTTTAAAATTCACGGGCATCACGTGTGAAATCCATGGTACAAAACAAGCGGAAATAGCGTTTTTACCCCCTTTGACTTGCATTCGTTTGTTCGTTATTAAGGGGACCCGTGATGCGGAAGTGATTTAGGCTTCCTATACGCCATCGGCTGACCATGACCTCTACATATCAGCATTGGTATCTGCAATCGATAAGCTGTTGATTGACCAATAGTCAGAATTCTGACACACTTTAACAAACATGGGCAACATACTTACTGTTTACATATACATGGAATAAATGAGCAACAGAGGCGTCCTCATGACTGGCTGAAAATTCATAGATCCCACCTTCTGAACCAAGAACCCTCACCAGTCTCAGCTCACTGGTGTATCTAATAAAAATAAAGCAGATTTGAACATTCGAACTCACACGGCCACACCCACTGCTTGGGGATCTTAGTGTACCTGTATTTACGGTGGTGAACAGTGATAACATGCTCTGTGGTGTTCAGGAGGCGCTTGTTGTTGTATGACCAGGAGAGGGAGTGTGGTGGAGGATAGGCATCAAATTCCACTTTCAGACTAAAGCTCTCTCCTTCTCTAACATCCGCCTGGACCGGACCAGGACTTCCTAACATTTTAATGAAGCCCTGACCTGCAGAACAGAGATGAATTAGTTTGCTGAATAAAGACTGTGTACACAGAGTTTGTGATGCTCTTTGAGTCATCCCACCATTGCTTAAGTCTTGAACAAACAGTGTGCTGTAACAACAGTATTTAAATGATGATAGGTTAAGCCCTGATGGACTCACTTTAATTCTACTGTACATGATGTGCAAATGAGAAAAGACAGCTTTGGTAGTCAGTGTGTTTAAGCTTTATCTGAGTGTTGTTTTTTAATCAAATGTTTCTAAATTATGAGCAAAATTGAACATTATTGTTAACTTTAATACTTACTGCGTACATCCAGATGCAGCGTTGCATCGCTGCTGCCTTTCTCATTGAGGGCATGACAGCGATAAGTGCCTGAGTCCGATTTTTTGACAGTTGCTATGAGGAGTGAGGTTGAACGTTTATACCCTCTGGAGCCAGGCAGGATGTGGGAGGTCTGGCTTACATTGGGGTGCTGAAAATGATTAGCAATATAATCAAGATAATTCAACAGCTGTGGTTTATAATCAGCCAAAGGACATCATTTTCAAACTCATCATTTAATCTGCATTAAATACAATTGCTGGAAGGTGTTCTAAACACAGCTATTTAAAATTGGGATGACAGAAGTTAAAGTAAAAAATTTTCCACAACCTCAAATCTGAGATAAAAACAATATTTTCATAGAGTCTCAGAGTTCTGCATCTTGCCTGGAGAATCTCCTGCAGAGATACATGTGGCCTGCCAGGGCCTGGGATCACACCACTCTCCCCATTCAGCCTCAGCTGTTCTTTTACCAAAAAATGTGCATGGAAGGTGAAGCTAAACATTAAAATAATGTGTTGGCCATTCTGGAGTGGCTTTGAGTGTAAAAGTATGAATTCATTGCAGATAATTTCATATAAACTTCCTAAAAAGCTGGAGGGCCGTTATCCAGCATGCTTTAGGCCCTGTCCACACGTAGCCGGGGATCTGCCAAAACGTAGATATTTTTCTACGTGTTGGCCTGTCATCCACACGAAAACGGAGTTTTTTAAAAACTCCGGCCAAAGTGAAGATCTGCGTTTTCCCCGTTTTGGGTGTCTGCGTGTGGAGAGACAAAACCGGAATTTTAAGATCCGCAACGTCACTTTCCACGACAAAAAAATGCTGACATCACATGTGCGACCTGTGTTTACACTAGCCGACAGCATGGATGCCCTCAGAGCTGCGCTCGCTTTATCAATTGTCCAAGCGCTTTCTGCTTGTTTGTTTTTGCAAGTGGAATTACTGCTCCTTGTGGAAGACCACAGACGAAGGACGAGGTTAAGAACGGGAGAAGTACTGCCGCCTACAGGTCTGGCATGTCCTTAACAACGTATTTATCCGGGTACGTGTGGACAGAGTTTTTTTTTAAACGAGGTGGTGTGGATGCAAGTTTTTGCAGGGGCGGATATTCGTTTTTAAAAAAAGCCGGCTACGTGTGGACTAGGCCTTAGTTTTAACCCTGTTTCAACACACCCGATTTCAATCAGCGGGTGATTAACAGGCTTCTGCAGAGCCCGATGAGCTGCTGCACAAGTGATTCAACCACTGAATCAAGTGTGTTGGAGCAAAGAAACCACTAAAATATGCTGGATAACGATACTGACATAGAACAAAGTGGAACGCTGACATCTCCTTTCTCCTGAGTTTTTTGTGATTCTCATGAAAGTTCTTTTATAAACCGAGCCATCGGTTTTGAACTAAATAGTAACTGATGTTGATTTTTTGGGTTATTTAAGGGTGCAAATATTACAAGCAGCAGCAAATTTTGACACTTCCATTACATCCAGATGTAAAGTCCAATTAGGATTTCTTAACGACCAAGTTCACTGAGAAGCCGTACTTCCTTGTTAGTTTTAAAATATGATTGGTCACTCTGAGTCGCAGGATAACGTGAAAATAGTCTTCTACCCCTATTTCCTGTATTAGGCACCAATGGAAAATAGATGTAGCGTTCGAATTAGAAATGCCAGACAATTGCAAATCCCCTTGTCAGCAATAGCATTCATGGGCTCACCCATTCTTGCTCGTGACAGGATTTATTTGATTTAGCATCCAGGAGAGAGAAGAGCATGTCTCCGCTGGCAGAATCTAACCATTAGCATTTGCAACTCCAAAACAGCAGAACACCTTCATATTTGTGTTGTTTGTGAAGATAAAACATCAACATTGCAAATCCAACAGAGTCAGTGCTAGAGTCTTTTTGCTGTTAGCCAATCAGAGGAGAGATGCCAAAACATCAGGAAATAAGACTCCAAATCCTGTCGCGTTCTGCTCACCTCTCATCTGGCTCACTTCCACTTCTCAAAACAGGAGCGCAAGAGTTTTTTTTCCCATAGAGACAGACCAACAAGGCATACACTTATACTAGACGTAAATTGCAAATATTTTGAAAAAAAAGGTGAACTTGGTCTTTAAGCTTTTGTATCAATAGACTGCAAGATGGATGCCACTGTCGATTGACCTTAGAAAACACAAACATTTCAACAACTGGCTCACTTCTGATCTGGCTCGCTTCCAGCTCCTGAAACAGGAGCACCAGAGCACAGATATCGACTCACAAGGCATTCATTTATGTTAGAGACCACTACAAATTGTTAAAATAAAAGGAAGGAACTTGTTTTTTTTAACATTTTGTCAAAATAATGATGCAATATAAACTGATGATGTAAAAATGTACAATAATTAACAATTTTGAGCATCGGAGCTCTTTAAATCAGCTGTAAACCAGCTAGTTCGACTAGCCATTAGCTCATCAGTCCTGCTGTATGTGACCTTAATTACTTCAAAGTAAAGCAGTTTAAAGAGCTACCCACTAGTAGAATTTTGTAATTATTTGTGCTTAAAAAAATTATTTATTTATTTATTTTACCCGAAGCACACTTTAAAATGTTAAAAAAAAAAATAATAAAAACTTCCAGTCAGAAAAATTAAATATTTCTAGACTTTCTTAAACACATTAACAAATCCAGCAGCTACAACTACCCTTACTATCCAGGAGTAACATTTAAGTCTATTGTCTGTATTATGACCTGAGTGTTTTGACATCCAGACAGTTTACCACCCTTTACATAAACTCCCAACATAAATCTCACCGCTGTCAAAGGGAAGTCCCACTTAAGACTGAACTCCGGGTTGACGTTGGTGGAGCTGCAGGTGAGCTCAAACTGTTCTCCTGCCTTCAGGATGATGACATCCTTCTGTGAAAGCGTGATCACTGGAGGCGACTCTGGCGCTGGATCAAAGGAGACACAAAAGGAGTACTGTTAAAACTGTATTTTCAGAGAGGGCGCTTAAGTCAGTCACAACGCAGCTGTGTTTTCCATTTCATTCTGGAACTGTGTTCACTATATTCAAGAGCAAATTAACATAAATATGTATCAGTTCACATGTGCCATGCATCCTTTTTACATCCAAACCAAACAAATCTGTCTGCCCAAGATAAATGATCCTCGAGTGTCTGACTGGTGGTTTCTGTTCAGCTGACGGTTTACAAAAGCTCTGTGTTTGTGAATGCAAAAACTTGTGTGCACACAGGTGACTTCACTCTGTGTGTTTGTTTCTCTGTAATTCAGTTGAACTCAAACACAACCTTCACACTCTGTTTCACAGCATTGTCCAGTGAGGGGCTCCAACCCCTCAGCTCGTCACTCTCTCATGTGTCTCTTCATCTTCTCTCCATCAGTCAAATGGACAGCATCATACCCCCCCCCCCCCACCACCACCACCACCACCACCACACACACACAAACCTCCATGATAATAACACTGTGTTGCATGAGGACAGAACTATGATCAGTGTTAATACTAAAAAAAAAAAAGCCCAAAGCTATGGGAATACACAACATAGTTATGTGTGCCAACATTATTAGAATGTGTTAAAAAGCCAACAAAAGAGAGAGGGTGCTCGCTGCAGAACCACAAAGGCGGAGCTGCACCTGAATCAGCCCCGCCCACTCACGCAAACAGCCTAGCCCACTGACTTCTTCTGTTTTTTTATTTTATTTTTTTTTATCACAAACTAACCTGACCCACATGAATTACGGCTGTTACTAGTTTACAAATGTTAGTGCTATGTTCTATGCTCCAATTAAGCAAGATAAATATAACTTGCTACATGACAAAGCCTGAATATATCTTGAATGAAAAGGTTTCTTTCAGTAAATATCAGCCCACAACTGCTCCAACAAAAGCGGGCTACTCGGCTACAACAGCATCAGAACAATTATAGTGGCAAGATCGTCAAACTTAAGTTTTGCTTTCACCTCTGCTGATGCTGGTTCGACTCTCGGTGGGGTCGGCAACAATCAATTTAGCCAGCTGAAACATTTAATTTGTTTATTTTTAGTTGTAATGTTTATTTTCTGCAAAATATTTATGTATCTAAAAGTTCTTTGAATTTGGTCATTCCTAAACAGCATTTTAGTTGAAACTCTGCTCACAAATGGGCTCACACTGGTTAAATAAACGAATAAATAAATAAAAAAACACATTAGTCATTATATTTTAAACGGTATACTGATAAATGGTTAAAAAACATAGTACTGGCAAGTATAGCTAGAAAGGAAGAAAAGAGTTTGCGCCGCTACCGGGAGGCGAACCTGCGCAAAACTACATGCCAAGCTGACTGCACAACCACTTCACCACTACATCTGATACCAAGCAAGTGGCGTTACATGTAATTGTGCCATCCAGTATGTTTTTGTAGACGGGATGTATGGTTTTTCCGCGGTGTCTCAGTGGAAGTCATATCAGAAATAATTTATCAGAAAATTCACAGAATATCCAGATTTGAGAACCAAGACCAGACCCCCTTCAGTGGAGGAGACCAAATTGAAGCTGAGATGGGAGGAAAATGTGTGAATGAGGCCAAAATGGATTAGGCATATTTCTTATGAAGAAATGACAATAAAACATGATAAAACGTTCCAAAAGTTAGATTTTTAATTGTATGGAACCTTTACAAAAACGGTTCAATTAACCTCTCAACTCAGTCCTCAATCTTGCATTTTAGATGATACTAGCTTAACACCCTCTTTGGTTCCAGAATGCTATTAAGTCTGAAAACTGGAAGGAATTGGACTGACTCTGATGGAATGGGCGGGGCTGACTCTGGTGCAGCTCCGCCTTTGTGGTTCTGCAGCGAGCACCACTTGACAAAAGAGGTGTATTTTTTTATATGAACATTAAATACGTAATTTAGCCTACATGGATAGATAAAGTAATGTTTTCATGGCTAATTTAAGATTTGGTTGCTGTTAAGAGCATCTCACTGGAGGAAACAAATACGCTGAAGCAAATGTTATTTCTGGTCACTCTATGACCTCCTGTATAAAAGTCTAATTCCTCTCTGATCACGATAAAAATAAATAGTTATAACAGTTTTGGTCAAACTTCAAAAACTTTGTGAGTTTGTTTTGAAAGCCTCTAAGCTGCTCTGACACCACATTTTTAACGAATACCTGTAAAACTGAGTGAGTTGTTGACATTTGCTATTATATCTACAGTAGTATAAATTAATGCCTTGTGAGAGAATGGGGGTAAAAGATCTTGTGCTCCTGTTTCAGGAAGTAGAAGTG